CCATGGGCGGGCTGCAGCCGGGAGGCTGCAAACAGCTGCTCTGGGCTCTAGCATGTCAGCACTCTGGCACCTTCCAAGGCAGACATTGTGGTTTTTTCGGCACTCTGGCCAAAAAACGTTGCCTACCCCTGGTCTAGAGGAACAAAAGAACATGTCAGAGAGAACTTGGAGAAGCTGAGTGTTTTCAAGTCAGCAGGGCTGAGTCAGATTCATCCTTGAGTGCTCAAGGAATTGGCTGAGGGAATTGCATAGCCATTGACTGTTTTGTTTGAGAACTCCTGGACATTGTTTGAAGTCCCAGAAGATGAAAAGGGCAAATGCCATGTTCATCTTTGAAAAAAGAGAACAAAGCTGATGCAGGTAATTACGGAGCAATCAGTCCAACTTTGACATGAAGAAAGATAATGGAGCATATCATCTAGGAATTTTTTTCTAAGCATTGAGAGCAGGGGCCTGCAGGCCTTAAGCCAGCCTATGGATCTGTTTCACTCAATCTTTGGGGCTCCCAGAAAGACCAGGAATCTAAAGGTGGGGCCTGCTGCTAAAATCTCAATGACAGAGCCTGGAGGTGGTACACTGGATATGATGCGCCTGAATTTCAGCAAGGCTTATCATAGTATGCTGTAACGGTCTCAAAAGTAAGCTAAGGAAATACTATATCACTGAAACTACTATAATGTGGATACAGAACCTGTTGGATAATCATGCTCAGAGAGCAGCCATCAGTGGCTCAGTGTCTAACTGGACAAGGTATCAAGCAGGAACCCCATGGGTTGGTCCTGGATCTGGTACTGTTCTAGATCTTAATGATACCCTTCGCTAGGGTAGAGGTATTCTAGAGCAGGGCTGGCACATGTGCCACAGGTGGTACTGACAGCCTCTGTGTGGCATGCAGCAGACAAGGGACAAGACAGACAACACCGTGGCAGATAGGGCAGGAAGCAGCAAACAGTAGCACATTGGGCTGGGAGCACAGGCCAGGGAGCAGAAAGCAGAGCAGCAGATCAGGCAGGGGAAGAGTGCAAATTAAATTCATGGAGTAAAATTCTGACTAGTTTCACTCGATATGTACTGACTTCAGTATGGCCAGGATTGTGCTTCATATGAGTGTGCAGGCATTCACTAAAAATTCTAAGAGACATTAAGCTCAGCTGCAAGGTCCTAATACATGGGATTTAGTGCCACTGAATTACAAGCTAATTGGAGTATTCATGTGAAATAATGCTTCAGGACTAAGCCTTTTACAGCCTAAGGATGTGTCCCCATCAGATGTGGTTGGGAAATAGGAAAGGGAATATCACAGAAATACTCATGGATTTGTTTGCAAATGTCACCATTTTTTTCAGTAGAAACTTCTTAACACGTACATGTATATATTTAAGTATTCTAGTCTATGCCATAGAATGGGAATCCAGTTTTCTCCAAAACTTGTTTTCTTTTTCACCCAAATATGGCAGGTCACTCTTGCCTGGTCTCCATCAGAATAAGAAATCTCAAGACCTGAGATCTTCAGGCATTTGTACACATGCTTACGCCTCAGTGCTGGGCGCTTTTTAAAAGCACCCGGCATCATGGCGCATGTTGTATAAGTGGCAAAATACATGTCAGTGCTGAGAAAATGGCAGCGCTGCACTCTTGAACTAAAACACATTGGAGGTGTGTTTAGTTCAAAAGCACACCACTGCTGCATGCTGATGCACATTTCACTGTTTATACAACTGCACACGGTGCAGCGCAGTACACCTCAGCTTGCATGTGGAGCAGAATCGATTAATCGAGTCTGCTTCAACCCACTGGATCTTCAGCACGTTACAGGACAAAAAGGTATGTGTAGAAATGCCCTTCAAGACCTCAAATATAGTCTGCTTTGCAAAACCAAGTAACTGTGTTTGTGTTTGATTTTTGGGTGGAAGAGAGCTTTTAAAAAAAGAACCCCAGTTTTCAAGTAATTTTCCATTTCTTTTAGGCCATGACTCACGTATCTGAGGCCTGTTATCCTTTGTTGGATGGCTGTAGAAAGAACAGACAGAAATGGCAATCCTTAGCAGAACAGCAGGAGAAGAATCTGATTAACGGAGAAAGTAATCAGTCCAAACGGAACTGAGTTGCTGGGTTAGCAAACACATGCTTTAAGTTTACTCTAAAGATACAATAATTTGGGAATACTGCATTTTGCTATACACTGTGTGTGGATTTTGTGTATGCTTTACCACTGCTGTATTATTTTTTCCACAGCCTTTAAAAGCACAGCATGATCATTTTTATGTCAGTGTTCTATAATGATTGTATATTCTTATATTTTATTTGCATGTGGTGAAACTATAGATTTGCAGGTAGTTTATTCTACCCAGTTCTACATAGAGGTACAACTTGCTGATACTGGACTTGGTTGGAGGGCTTTCAGCTTTACAGATGTGTATATATAGATGTTTAGTGTTTGTGACTGGCCAGTACCTTAAAAAATATCATATTCAGCACCTTGCTTCCCCTTATTTTTTTTGTTGCATCCTCGTATGTAAGTAGTGAGCGATGTTGTCTGCTCTCCCGCAAGTTGCCAGGAGGCAAGAAGGATCTTGGTGATTGAGGTTTGCATTAATGGCTGAATCTAATACTTGTTATACTGATAGAATTTCCATTGAAGTCAATGAGAGCTCCAAGATATTTTACAGCATTACATATGAAAGAATGAGAGAATCACCTACCTGGAGATGCAGAATTGTGCCCAAAGTGACAAAGCACAGGGACTTGTGTGATATATTGTATCAGGTGTTTCCTGTTACAAGGATGTGTTATCCC